ATTAGTGACAAGCCACATTAATGTACCTAATTATTCCAGAATGCATGCAATAATAAATGCATGCAGTAAAGAGAGGTAAAGCTTTAGACTGTTTTCTAAATACTTCAGTTAGATGGCTGCAGTCAATTAGTTCTTCAAGTAATAACTCTATCTTCACCCATTTTTTTTTGCTATAGGAAAGAATTGTACTAACAAACCTTGTCATTGTTGCTTAGTCACTAAGTCATGTCCAACTCTTGAGACCCCGTGAACTGTAGCCCACCAGGCTCCTCTGTCCATGTGAATTCCCAGGCAAGAATACTGGAGCTGATTGCCACTTCCTACTCCAGGGGAATCTTCTGGACCCAGGAATTGAACCCAAGTCTCCTGCATCTCCTGCATTTGTAGGCGGGTTCTTTGACACTGAGCCAGCAGGGAAGCCCACTAACAAATTTAAGGTACAATATAATCTGTTTTTAGAGAATAAAGAATAATAAGAAATTAAGAAAATAGATAGGGAAAAATAAATTCTCACTCTCTCCGCGACCCCCCCCAAACAGCAGCCACAAAGTAATTTCAAAGTTCCTAAAATGGCTAGATTATGTATTAATTATAACTGAAACTTATTACTCTACAGCAAACTGTGGTTAATACCTCAATAAAATACACACTTTTTTGGTAATGGAAATGGCAACCCACTCCACTATTCTTGCTGGGAAAATCCCATGGACAGAGGAGCCTGGCAGGCTATAGTACATTGGGTCACAGAAGAGTCGGACACGACTGAGTGACTTTACTTTACTTTATTTTTAACTTTATTAACATTTAGATGATGATTAATAATTACCATAATACAATTACTCAAAAATAGAAATTTTTGAAAAAATATAAATTCATGGCAGACCTAGACAAAAGAAGGGAAACATGTCATTCAAGTTTCAACATTAATGTATCTTCCTTCAGTTCCCCCAGTTCACTGCCTTTAAAATAAAACCAGTCTATTAGAGCAAATTCATCCATTCTGGTTAAATGTTTCCAGAGAAACAAAAAAATAAAAAATATGTCAGTGGGAATGGTCGGGGGTTGGGGTGGAGCAAATATAAGTCCTATTATTTTTTAGGTTTATATTTTGGTCAAAGTATCTCAGAATCTACCTAGGTATGGCTAGAAATTTTTTTATTTCAATATGATTTTGTTCATTTTAGACCCACAGGCAGAAAAACTGATTAGATAACCTCTCACCATTAAAAGCTTATTCAGGGTTTAATTGCACACAATATCTTGTTAGGCTAAGTAATGCAAGCATGGGCAAATAAAGGACAGAAACAGCAAGGATCTAAAAGAAGCAGAAGACATTAAGAAGAGGTGGCAAGAAGAACTACAGAACTATACAAAAAAGGTCTTAACGACCCAGATAACCACCATGGTGTGATCACTCACCTACAGCCAGACATCCTGAAGTGTGAAGTCAAGTGGGCCTTGGTATGCAAACCTACAAACAAAGCTAGTGGAAGTGATGGAATTCCAATTGAGCTACTTCAGATCCTAAAAGATGATGCTGTTAAAGTGCTGCACTTAATATACCAGCAAATTTGGAAAACTCAGCAGTGGCCACAGGATTGGAAAAGGTCAGTTTTCATTCCAATCCCAAAGAAGGACAATGCTGAAGAATGTTCAAACTACTTTATAATTACCTCATATCACATGCTAGCAAGGTAGCTGTCAAAATCCTTCAAGCTAGGCATCAACAGTACATGAACTGAGAACTTCCAGATGTTCAAGCTGGATTTAGAAAAGGCAGAGGAACCAGAGATCAAATTGCCAACACCCACTTGGTCACTGAAAAAGTAAGAGAATTCCATAAAAACATCTACTTTTGCTTCACTGACTGCACTAAAGCCTTTGTGTGGATCACAAAAAGCTGTGAAAAATTCTTAAAGTGATGGAAATACCAGCCTACCTTACCTGTCTCCTGCAAAAACTATATTCAGGTCAAAAAGCCACAGAACTAGACATGGAACAATGGACTAGCTCCAAATTGGGAAAGAGTACATCAAAGCTGTATACTGTCACCCTGCTTATTTAACTTATATGCAGTGTACATCATGCTAAATACTGGGCTGGAAGACTTGCGAGCTGGAATCAAGGTTGCAGGGAGAAATATCAACAACCTGAGATATCCAGATAATACCACTCTAATGTCAGAGAGCAAAGAGAACTAAAGAGCCTCTTGATGAGGGTAAAAGAGGAGAGTGAAAAAACTGGCTTAAAACTCAACATTCAAAAACTAAGTATATGGCATCGGGTCCCACTTCACATCTTGCATCACTTCAAGGCAAACAGATACAGAAAAAGTAGCAACTGACAGATTTTATTTTATTGGGCTCCAAAATCACTGTAGACACTGCTTGTAGCCACACAATTAAAAGATGCTTGCTCCTTGGAAGAAAAGCTATGGCAAACCTAGACAGTGTATTAAAAAGCAGAGACATCACTTTGCCTACAAATGTCTGTATAGTTCAAGCTATGGTTTTTCTAGCAGTCATGTATGGATGTGAGAGTTGGACCATAAAGAAGGCTGAACACTAAAGAACTGATGCTTTAGCATTGTGCTACTGGAGAACACTCTTGAGAGCTCCTTGGGAAGCACAGAGATCAAACCAGTCAATCCTAAAGGAAATCAACCCTGAATACTCTTTGGAAGGACTGATGCTGAAACTGAAGCTCCAATACTTAGGTCACCTGATGTAAACAGCCCACTCTGGAAAAGACCCTGATGCTAGGAAAGATTGAGGGCAGGAGGAGACGGGGGTGGCAGAGGATGAGGTGGTTGGATGGCATGATCGACTCAATGGATGTGAATTTGAGCGAATTCGCAGAGATGATGAAGGACAGGGAAGCCTGGCGTGTTGCAATCCACAGAGCAGCAAAGAATCAGACGCTACTTAGTGACTGAACAACAACAAAAATGGATACATGAATGACTACAGGAGAAATGAGAAATGGTTTATGATAGTTATCAAAGTAAAATATACTAGTAAGATAATGCACACTGATTCTTCTCACTGTCAACACTAAAATTTTAAACTTCTTTATTTTTTTGGCCACACTGCAGGGCTTACAAGATCTGTTTCCTGACCAGGGATTGAACCTGAGTCGTAGCAGTGGAAGCCCATAATTCTCACTACTAGGCCACCAGGGAACTCTCATAAACTTCTAAACTTTAGAAGAAACAAATTCAGTAATCAGCCAATGCTGAAGTGTATAAACTAAAATTAAAAAAAAAAAAAAAAACACTAAAAGATCTTAGTCATTTAAAGTTCCAAAAGCCCATGGAACCATGAGAAGCAAGGTTAAAACCTGACCCAAAGGCTAATTTAAAGTCTATAATGATCATTTGCTTAGGAAGGAATTAAGTCACCTTGTAGACCGCTTAACAGTCTTGTGACTTCCACTAAGAGTTACACAGAGAAAGAATAATTAATTATTTGCATTATGCAACAAAATTCTCTCTAGTTCCAATCAATAATCAATTAAAATACTGGATAAAAGTAGAGGCTAAACAAGTAAATAACACTGGTAAAAGTATTATCAAGCTGTAAAACAACTCTCTAGTGAAGCAACATAAATAAAAAAGTAAAAAAAAGAATTGTCAGGAATACATTCAATCCTACCAGTATTTCTACCAGAAATGCATTATTTAGTGTGAAATAAGTATATGCACTTTTTATCCTCCTAACTTCGTGTTTAAAAAGAAAAAAATAAGTTGATGGGGAAAAAAAAATCTTGAGAAGTGACAATACTGCTAATGAAACTTCCCAAAGATTTCTTCCATAGTTAAAAACAAATGTAAATATTAGGATTACATTTATTGAAGCAATAGCATAGTTGGCAGTAAATTATGGTATCTGATCTAGGTCAGAAGATGCCTATAATAATTAAGCTATCTTCCCATTTTCCTAACAAGTAGGAACATTGACTAAGTAGAAATCAATTGTAATTGGAAAAGCGTTAAGTCCTAAACTAATTACCAAACTCAGTTGATATATATGATAGTTAATTAATTTAGAAATTCTAAAAGTTGCACTTGATATATATATGTGTATATATATTTATATTTACTATATATACACACACAGCATGTAATGAATTATATAAATTAATTGACACTATATATTTCACACAGCATTGTGGAATCTTAGGTCCCCAACCAGTGATTTAACCTGCAACCACTGTATTGGAAGTGCAGAATCTTAATCACTGATCCACCAAGGGAAGTTCTTAGAAGTTTTTCAAACGGAAGTATCACAGATTCTTATTTTCTTAAATCACATTATCACAATAAACTAAGCATTGTGACAGATGTCATTCTACTCACCAAGTTTTATCCTTCAATATATAAAACCATATTGATTGATATAATGCTTTTCAGTTTTTGTAAGTCATTATTTGTTCAGAGAACTGCTAATTCTCAAAGGATATTCTCAAAGTCATTAGTTTAAATCAGTGAGACAGATCATGGGTCTGCAATTTTTTCCCGTAAAGGGCCAGTAAGAAAATATTTTTGGCTTTGTGAGGCATATGGATTCTGTTTCAAATATTCAACTCTGTACCTAGAGCCCCAGAAGTGCCATGGGCAATACATAAATGGATAAGCATGACTGTGCCAATTAAAAATCTACTTACAAAAACAAGTGACAGGTTAGATTTCTCTATGGGTTTTGCCAACCCTGAAATAGTTAAGGAGGGGAAGAGAGGGATAATAACAAGGGGAGGGACAGGGAATAGGAAAGAAAGAAGATCAAATAAACATAGTTATGAAGTATTACTCTTGAGACTAAGTAGCTACATAGGAGGATTGACATTATTTTTCTATTGACAACTTTGATTGTGAGGCCCTATAAAACGCAACAATGTCTTTTTATGACTTGTTTCAATGTTGACAGACCTACTGGCATTCAGCATATCAGCATAAATAATGAAAATATTGATCTTCAGTAAGTACATAGGATTTGACTTACCTTAATAATGGATGGAATATGACAGTAATATTTCTGGCTCCAGGTTTGCAAACAAATTTTGTTCCTCCACCTTCAATTAAGTTGTCATCAGGACCCCCTTTCAGAAAAAAGTAAAAGAGAGATTAGCTTATTAGAACTTAAAAAAAAAAAAAGCCTATCAGATGGATGTTATCTTATCATAAGGAAGATCAACTTTGAAAACAGCTGCCTTTAATGTTTACAAAATTATTTTGAATGACTTGATCCAGTCTTCCTCATTAAACAAGTAATGGATTAGCATTTTTCACTTTGGAGTGAGAACACGGAAGCGCAGTAAGAATAACTATTTAGTGTCAACCTTTGACAGCACAGTTCAGGGGAAGGAAGACAGGCCACTCAGGCTTGCCTAGGTAGGGCTGCAAAGGTTGGAGCACAGGCCCATATGAACCTAGCCAAGCCCATTTCATCAAATCTAAAACCCCATTAATTTTAAGATACACTACTGTTATAAGCAACAATAAGGAAAAAGAATCCTGCTAACTGAAGTATACAATGCTTCCTTATTAGAATTTTCTTTTTCTTATTCAAAGTTCTTTATAGTTTACATTACAAAACTAGGTTAAATAATTTATAAATAAACTTAAGACTTTATTAAGATTTGAGTACATCCAGTATTTTACTTCAAACTGCTGATATCCATTCTGCAAGGTTTAATATTGATATGTTCTTGATGCTATTAGAAGGTTTAAAGAGAAGGTGTTCTCATACCAACCAAGATTCATACTCTTTCCTCATATGGTCCTTAACAGGTTCACTAATTTAAATACTGAAGGGTTCAGATGTGAAGAATAACCACTCAGCTCACACATACTGAGGCAAAAACAACTCATTATGACTATTGTCCTGTTAATAGCCATTAAGACATCACTAATTGAAGATATGGCCTAATTTCAGAGTTGACAATGTGACAAATGTACATCGACGGCTGTGGGGAGAAATGTCCCCCAGAATCCTGTTTCCTTGCATTAAAATGAAGCTCAATTAAAGTAATCTCTGGCCTCTCTCCATCTTTCACTCACTCTAGGGGAGTAATCTCCTTTGGTAAAACTGAGAAGAAAACGCTGGGCATGCACAGCTTAGCAACATTCTTATTTCACTTCTGAAATCAGAATGCCTATACAAGGTCAGTATTGTCTCACTAAGTTTAGCAAATAAAGGTCTACCTTGTCAGAGAAGGATGAAATAGTCTAGCACCTTTGAAAAGCAAGTAAATTTGTCTAATTCTGATGTTCAGCAAGTAAACACATTTTGCTCTCAAACTAGGTTACACTTTCAGTCGGCCTTCTATCAACAGAAAAGTGGAAGTGGTATTTCACCTTCCATTTGCTTACATACATTATTTTACAATAGTATCAGAACTCTAGATAGGGAAGTCTATTTAATAGAGTTTCTTAAAACCCTAACAATCTACACATACAATATTGCATTTCATTTTTTCTGAATTAAATAGCTTCTTTTTAATTATAGTTCTTTGCATGATACCAAACATAACTGAACCTCACCTGATTTGCTATGTTTTAATGGTCTCTGAGGTATCTTAGAAATTGACTGATAAAAATAGGTGAAGCTTAAGAAATCTATAGCCTGGATCATCAAGACTTCCCAGAGGCATCAGAGTTTAAACAAATCCCATTTGGATTAGCTGTTTCCACCAACGAATCAAAAAATGGTTTTTCTTAAGAAATACAGAAAATACAATGACACGTACAGCACTTGATTCAAAATCATGAGCTTTTTGTTCTCATTTGGGAAAAAAAAAATGCATCTTGTATTATTATATTTGCATTGGAGATATCAGTGTTCTGCTAAGTCAATGATTTTGCTTGGTTAAAAGTAAAACAAGAGAGTCAACACCACAACAAACACTACTCCTATAATAAAAATCTTCCTCCAAACTTCATATGATTTGGTTACAGACCAAAAAAAAAAAAAAAAGCACAGAATAATAATATCTTTATTAATACTTCTCAAGATCATAAAACCAAGTCACAACTGAATCACCAAGGAAACGTGCACATGCACAGAAGAAACCAGGTTAAATTCCGCACTCTAGGAAACACACAAATGATTCAAATGACTTCCTACAAAACAAATAAATCTACAAAAATAATGCACTAATCTACTCAATATGAGTATGAGCATATCTTCAAAGGATAAATATGAGTGGACTGCATGCTCTCTAACGGGTTCTAAAAATTCTGAAGATTTCTGATTCTAGATACTCAGTAACTACACACAGGCCTGATTAACACAGCTCCGAACCAGCATCTTCATGGACACGGAGCACACTGTATGATGACTACCTCGATGCTCCGCCCACACTGGGCTCTGTCTGGGCAGACTACTTGTCTCCTACCATTCCTTTGGGGCCCAGGAGGTATAGCCCAAACTGTCAAATGGCCCTCTCCTGATGTCCACAGTGCCATTCATTCAGTTAAGTCGCTCAGTCGTGACCCCACTGACCCCATGCACACCAGGCCTTCTTGTCCATTACCAACTCCTGAGGTTTACTCAAACTCATGTGCATTGAGTCGGTGATGCCATCCAGCCATCTCATCCTCTGTCGTCCCCTTCTCCTCCTGCCTTCAATCCTTCCCAGCATCAGGGTCTTTTCATATGAGTCAGCTCTTCACATCAGGTGGCCAAAGGATTGGAGTTTCAGCTTCAACATCAGCCCTTCCAATGAACACTCAGGACTGAATTCCCTGAGGATGGACTGGTTGGATCTCCTTGCAGTCCAAGGGACTCTCAAGAATCTTCTCCAACACCACAGTTCAAAAGCATCAATTCTTCGGAGCTCAGCGTTCTTTATAGTCCAACTCTCACATCCGTGCATGACCACTGGAAAAGCCATAGCCTTGACTAGACACACCTCTGTTGGCAAAGTAATGTCTATGCTTTTTAATATGCTGTTCAGGTTCATCATAACTTTCCTTCCAAGGAGCAAGTGTCTTATAATTTAAAGGCTGCAATCACCATCTGCAGTGATTCTAGAGCCCAAGTCTGACACTGTTTCCACTGTTTCCCCATCTATTTGACATGAAGTCATGGGACCGGATGCCATGATCTTAGTTTTCTGAATGCTGAGCTTTAAGCCAGCTTCTGACATTCCGCTTTCACTTTCATCAAGAGGCTCTTTAGTTCTTCACTTTCTGCCATAAGGGTGGTGTCATCTGCATATTTGAGGTTATTGATATTTCTCCCAGAAATATGGATTCCAGCTTGTGCTTCATCCAATCCAGTGTTTCGCATGATGTACTCTGCATAGAAGTTAAATAAACAGGGTGACAATATACAGCCTTGACATACTCCTTTTCCTATTTGGAACCAGTCTGTTGTTCCATGTCCAGTTCTAACTGTTGCTTCCTGACCTGCATACAGGTTTCTCAAGAGGCAGGTCAGGTGGTCTGGTATTCCCATCTCTTTCAGAATGTTCCATAGTTTATTGTGATCCACACAGTCAAAGGCTTTGGCATAGTCAATAGAGCAGAAATAGATGTTTTTCTGGAACTCTCTTGCTTTTTTGATGATCCAACGGATGTTGGAAATTTGATCTCTGGTTCCTCTGCCTTTTCTAAAACCAGCTTGAACATCTGGAAGTTCATGGTTCACGTATTGCTGAAGCCTGGCCTGGAGAATTTTGAGCATTACTTTACTAGCGTGTGAGGTGAGTGCAATTGTGTGGTAGTGTGAGCATTATTTGGGATTCCCTTTCTTAGGGATTGGAATGAAAACTGACCTTTTCCAGTCCTGTGGCCACTGCTGAGTTTTCCAAATTTGCTGGCATATTGAGTGCAGCACTTTCACAGCATCATCTTTCAGGATTTGAAATAGCTCAACTGGAATTTCATCACATCCACTAGCTTTGTTCGTAGTGATGCTTTCTTTCTTTTTTTTTTCTATGGCCCACTTGATTTCACATTCCAGGATGTCTGGCTCTAGGTGACAGATCACACCATCGTGATTATCTGGGTCATGAAGATCTTTTTTGTACAGTTCTTCTGTGTATTCTTGCCACCTCTTCTTAATATCTTTTGCTTCTGTTAGGTTCATACCATTTCTGTCCTTATTGAGCCCATCTTTGCCTGACATGTTCCCTTGGTATCTCTAATTTTCTTGACGAGATCTCTAGTCTTTCCCATTCTATTGTTTTCCTCTATTTCTTTGCATTGATCTCTGAGGAAGGCTTTCTTATCTCACTGCTATTCTTTGGAACTCTGCATTCAAATGGGAATAGCCTTCCTTTTCTCCTTTGCCTTTCGCTTCTCTTCTTTTCACAGCTATTTGTAAGGCCTCCTCAGACAGCCATTTTGCCTTTTTGTATTTCTTTTTCTTGGCGATGGTCTCTATCCCTGTCTCCTGTACAATGTCACGAATCTCCATCCATAGTTCATCAGGTACTCTATCAGATCTAGTCCCTTAAATCTATTTTTCAATTCCACTGTACAATTGTAAGGAATTTGATTGAGGTCATACCTGAACGGTCTAGTGGTTTTCACTACTTTCTTCAATTTAAGTCTGAATTTGGCAATAAGGAGTTCATAATCTGAGACACAGTCAGCTCCCGGTCTTGTTTTTGCTGACTGTATAGAGCTTCTCCATCTTTGGCTGCAAAGAATATAAATCAATCTGATTTTGGTGTTGGCCATCTGGTGATGTCCATGTGTAAAGTCTTCTCTTGTGTTGTTGGAAGAGGGTGTTTGCTATGACCAGTGCATTCTCTTGGCACAACTCTATTAGCCTTTGCCCTGCTTCGTTCTGTACTCCAAGGCCAAATTTGCCTGTTACCCCAGGTGTTTCTTGACTTCCTACTTTTGCATTCCAGTCCCCTATACTGAAAAGGACACCTTTTTGGGGTGTTTGTTCTAAAAGGTCTTGTAGGTCTTCATAGAACCATTCAACTTCAGGTTCTCAAGCACTACTGGTCGGGGCATAGACTTGGATTACCGTGTGACTTTTTCTGGGGGGGTGGGGGTCAGCGCTTCATGACATGTGGAATCCTGGTTCCCCAACCTGGGGTGGAACCCACACCCCCTGCACTGGAAGTGCAGAGTCTTA